CAATGAAAATGGCCATTTTTGATCAATCCTCCAGATCGAGTCCTTTTTCCTGCATACTGCTAGTTTGAAAGACCTGCCAATTAAGAGCCGGCACCACCGAACAGCGGCCATCGGATTTAAAAAATATGAATTAAGTTGCACCATGGGGAGATATATATATATATATATATATATTTTAAATTGGGGGATTTTTTTGTTTTTTGTTTTTGCAGCAAAAAGTCATAACCACCCCTCCGCTCCCTCCCACCCACCTCCCCCGTTGTCCGTTTGGAAGGAACACTATGTTTAGTTACTGCTACTTCATTTAGCTTTCACAATCACTTTGACGCCAGAAGTTATCATAAAATGTTTACAGACTGCACATTTCTCGTAAAATAAAATTAAAAAGCACACAGAACCTGTCTTAAAAAGGAAAAAAAAAATTACAATTCATTTCTGTCTTTAGGAACCGTTTAAAAAAAAACCCCCAAACGGCTTTTTCTTTCTTTCTTTCTTTCTTTTTTTTAAACACATGCAATTCAAGTTTCTGAAACAGGTGTGGATTTGGACTGTGCACGGCATTTGCTTTGTAAAGGCTGGGAAAAAAAAACTGTGAAGTGCAAAACAATGTCCTGTTAGGTGGTGTTGGGGGGGGGGTTGTGTATATATATCTATATATATTGGGGTTTTTTCTTTTAATTTGTTTTTGTCGTTATTGGATTTTAAAAGTGGACTGCGAGAAACGGAATACCTGTCAATCATCGTGTCTCGGTGGATAGGTTTTGATTGACAGATCCCCCTTTGCCAGAGCTGTGCCAGCAATGCCACATTTTGGACCTCTCGCTCCGCGCCTCTCTCAGCTGCCTCCTAGACGAGAACTGCATTTTGATGAAGCCTCTGCCTCTCCCCCGCACGCCGCTCCCGGGTGTGTGATCCTGCGACACTTGGGTTTTTGTTTTGTTTGCTCGTCGGAAAAGTCCCAGCGCCAGGTCTTAGTCGTCTGAAGTGACGTCTATTTCTTCTGGGCTGGCTTGTTTGGTGGCAATTCTCCACCGGTTAATGTGATGAGTCCCTTTTTTCTTCTGTTGTGAGTCTGAACCTTCCTCTTCCAACTTTTGTCGCTTGAACTTTGTCCTTCTGTTCTGAAACCATACTTTTACCTGCGGAGGGGAGACAAAGGCGGGGGTTAGCTGGCTGGGCGCTCCTTGCCCGGGCTCCCTCGGTAAGGACTAGTGCATGCGTGTGCACAGTCTACTAAGTGCCAAACGCAGTGAAAACGGGGTCCGGGACTGCGCGTGTGTCCACACACTGCCTACACCCAGAGGCGAGACGCACACGTATCTACCTGCCTCCAGCTTGCTTGTGCCCGTGGAGGTTACACACGCACGTACATACACATGCGCGTGTGCGCGCCTCTGCACAGGCAGAGAGCCGCGGCTTGCGGGGCTAGTAGGCACACACTCGTGTCCGCACACGCGCTTCGCACCACGCCGGCCGACACAGCCATCAAGTCCACCATCAACCGCAAACCAGCTTAGGCACATGCATACTTATCACCAATTCAAGCACATACACTATACACCCCAAAAGTTAGACACAGATCACTAATTCATATATCGTGCACACAATGCAATACACACACACACACTAGCAGCTCAGATACACACATGTTCAAAATAAC